TGTGTATAAGAGACAGATGTTGGCTTCAGCTCGATGCATGAATGGTATAGGCAATTCTCCTTCCAGTAATATATGTTTTAAGATTTAAATTAATTTTCCAAAAAGGTTTTTTTTTTAAGTATGATTATTTTAGAGGATTGAAATCTTTTCTTAAAATTCCTAAAAACAATTTAAATATTACTTTGTATCAAAGAAAAGTCTTTAATCTCTTACTTTTTGAATGTGAGCTGGATGGATTATGTGACATTTAATGTGTTAATTGTTATCATTAATTCTTAAGATTTATAATAAAAATTTAAAAGAATGAGTATATTTTTTATCTCTTATATAGTTGCTTAATTATATGTAAATTATATATAAATTTTACAAGGCTTAAATATAAGGTTTAATTATATTAAATAGGAAGAGACTATGCAGTCAAAGCTGCAGCTGCGCCCAAAGGTGGTGCACAAGGAAAGGTAGTTGCTGTCATCGGTGCTGTAGTTGATGTACAATTCGACGATGCTCTGCCACCTATCCTTAATGCTTTGGAGGTACAGAATCGTACACCCAGGCTGGTACTCGAAGTTGCCCAACATCTTGGAGAAAACACAGTTCGCACCATTGCTATGGATGGTAATATTTTGCAGATATATAAAAATTTAGTATGAGAGTTGGGAATTTTAATTGTGATTTTTTGTGTGCAAAAATACAAATTGGCATTCAGTGGATTCAGTAATAAATTACTTTTATTATAGGTACGGAGGGCTTGGTACGTGGTCAAAATGTATTGGATTCTGGGTTTCCTATTCGTATTCCTGTAGGAGCTGAAACTTTAGGCCGTATCATCAATGTTATTGGTGAACCGATTGACGAGCGTGGACCCATTGCCACAAATAAACTGGCCCCTATTCATGCAGATGCCCCCGAATTTGTAGACATGTCCGTCGAACAAGAGATTCTAGTCACGGGCATCAAGGTCGTGGACTTGCTGGCTCCTTACGCTAAGGGTGGAAAGATTGGTAAGACATACATTGCAATGGAATTAGAGTTCTGAAAATGCAAAACCAAATTTAATTTTCTTTAGCAACATTATTGAAACTAATTCATCTATATCAATGTCTGTACTACAAGTCACTTTGATATTATGTATCCAGGCCTATTCGGTGGTGCTGGAGTCGGCAAAACTGTACTCATCATGGAACTGATCAATAATGTGGCTAAGGCTCACGGTGGTTATTCAGTATTTGCTGGCGTGGGTGAAAGAACGCGCGAGGGGAACGATCTCTATCATGAGATGATCGAATCTGGTGTCATTTCTCTCAAGGATAAGACCTCTAAGGTAGCACTAGTGTATGGGCAGATGAATGAGCCACCTGGTGCCCGCGCCCGTGTAGCTCTCACTGGTCTCACCGTCGCCGAGTACTTCCGTGATCAAGAAGGTCAGGATGTACTATTGTTCATTGATAACATCTTCAGGTTTACTCAAGCTGGTTCTGAGGTAAATAAATATAATTTGTTAAGCAAATTTAAGGTAGTTTTAGCGAGCAAGTCCCAGTCAAAAGTTAGTCCCTCCATATGACTAATAATTCAATAAAAATATTTTGCATAAGATTGTACATACGTATGCGATTGTGTGACGTTTATGTCACAACGTTACACTATCGAGTTGGCATTGAGCGATAAAATCAGCTTAAGTGAAAGGACAAAAAGAAAAAAACAAAAGATTGTTTACAAGTTTATTAAATAAAGAATTCCACGCTAAATTAGAAAATTGGGCTCTGATGAAATAAATTGGTTTTTATATGCAGTTTATAATGAATGAAAAATGTCATAGACACAAGGTTCAATAGTTGATGATAGTTCTTGAACTATTGTGTATCAAAAATATAGAATTTGAGCTTTGCACAAGCAAAACTTTAATGTATTTGTAATATGTTAATTTAACCAAATGTTATTTCTCATTTTAATATACAGTCGAACTTCGATAACTCGAATCTCAAGGGACCAAGTATAAAAATCTTCAAATTACAAAGGTTTCGTCTTATCGAAGTTCGAGTAAAAGAGAGTTAACATATGAAAATTACGGAAGCTTTGTACGAGAGTTTATAATTTATAATGGGTTTTAAAGTAAAAAATTCGAAGTTTTTTGAGTCGGTTTTCGAGTTATAAAGGTTCGAATTATCGAGGTTCGACTATATTATTTTACCTCTGCAACTAGAATTTAAAGTAGCCAGACTTCTACAAGTCAAACTTCCGTTGTCGCTATCTCTACAATTCGAGGTCGTAGCTATAACCATGAGTAATAGCCTGGTATTTTGTTTAATAATTACATTTATTATATGTATGCAATAAATAATTCACTGTTAAATTTTTTTTTTTCCTCTAAAAGCCATCAGTCGAAAAATTATAAACTCTCCTACAATCTTCGTAAGTCGAATTTTCATATATTATCCCTCTTTTACTCGAATTTCGATAAGTCGAAAACTCTACAACTCGAAAGATTTTTCTGTTGCCTTGAGATTCGAGTTATCAAAATTCGACTGTATTAACATATAAAATAAATATTAAAATTTTATTTAGCTCAAAGACAGATTTTATATTAAATTTCTTTGTTATACTCGCCTTTGTTATACTCGCACAGAGATTTCTTTATCCATAACTAAATAACTTTATGACATTCACAGAAAGTCCAGAAATTCGATCATCGCTCCGAAATATAAATGTATTGTGAATTGCTGCTAATTATATATACGTACTTTTTCTCTCGACTTTATTCAATTCGCTCGCAAAGTTGTTGCGTGAATTATGCCGCTAATTGTCTTTATCAAGAACGAGGCGCTTCCGATAATAACGTTGGGGTAGACGCGCGACCCTCTGTACCGGGGGAAAAACGATTGCCGGCGAGGGTCGCGCTGAAATTACTTCTTCGATTACGGGCGACTTCAAAGGATTCGCTTTCCCGAGGCGTCGCGCCGACTAGGATTCTCGGGGTAGGGAGCGAAATGAGAGAACCCCGGGAGGACCGGGATGAGGGGGGGCATGTAGAATCGGGGCGGTTACGCAACGGGTAATACGCAACGAGGGAATCATGCTGATTCAATCAGACTTGCCGTCTCGCCTCACCTTCCTAAGAGGGAAAACGGGCGAAACGCGCTATGCTACGCTTGGCTAATTGTTATACCTATCGAGATTTCAGAGAATTTTACGGCGGTGACGAGCCTCCTATTACGGGAATTATACACAAAACATACTTTCTACACGGAAAAAAATGGCTGTTGCCACAACCTAATAATTGTGATAATTTTCACCCATCAATATAGAAGAGTTATAGAAACTAAAATATTTTGGAAGTGATTTATATAGTTAACTGAACTCTCAGCCTCAATGTTGTGACGTGCAACTATATCATATATATCTCTCAATCATACTATTTGTTGTACAGACCATACTAGAGAGATAACAATAATGCTTCGGTTGAGGCAACTACATATATGAAGATATTCTAACCGAATATTATTTATCCTAAGCACTACGGTTGTGACAACTGATAAGCATACCTTAACAGATGAATGCCATGTAACATCAATATAACTTAAATTCACATGCATTTCTTTTCCAAACATAGAGAATATTGTTGTAACATCCACAACAATTTTTTCCGTGTACGTATATTTAATATTTTACAACAGCAAGCTCGGTGGAAAATGAGAGAATCATCGTTACACCTTTAAAATATGTATACGATAATTGCAAAGTGATTGACAGGTTGACATTTAATTCGCTGGCGTCGCTCGAAGGATATCTGCGATAACTAAAAATTTAATTGATTACCCGACTATATAAGGTACGTTCGCACGAAAATTCGTTGTCGGAGGTGAAGATTCGGTGCATTGTGCGTATCAATGCGTTTTGCCGAATAATGCAATTTGAATGCCGAGACAATCGGTTTACGCAACCTCAATTCCGCATCCCGTGGTTCGACAGGATTAATAGATACTCATATTGGGATATACCCGGGGCGGTCTTGCTTGACGTCAATAACGTTAATTAACATATCAACGAGACAATCGTGGAGACGTGTATTCTCTGCGGTAATACCTTTCGCCTCCTAGGGCCCGGGTCCTTTATCTCTCTATACTGGGGCTCATTCAAATCTTGATACAATTCGCGCAACGTGCGCGGATGCTCGCGTGCCATTGTTGCGTGAAGAGAGACGGATATATGCTGCCACAGTTCACCATTGTGCCGAGCGTACGCTTATGAATTAATTGCTTTGCGGGGGCTTCGACGGGTCGCGGATCCGATCGTCGCGATCCTCTTCGATCTCCACATTGGTGCCGGAGAGGACATATCTCACCCCGTAATCCGGTCCGATCCGAGTTACGATGCCGTTAACGTCCCGTGGAGAATACAAACTTGGTTGTCTGCAGCATCTTTTATGAAAGACAACGCTTTTCGAGTAAAGAACTTCAAATACCCGGTTCTCGTTTACCGATAAAATACAACACTACCGCGTGTTATTCCGTTTTATATTTAAGATAAAATACGGTAAAATATAAGTTTATCTTTAAGATAAACTGCGTTTATCGTAAGCCTTTAAAATCAAATGTGATGCGTTAATAATATTAATAATATTAATTAAAAAATGATAAAATATGACACGTTAATAATGTCAATTTAACTTGCACCATGTTACATGCGTGATTTCATGTAAGACTGTAAACTTTGGTGTACTTTATATGCGAAACGTGCCTACATTTATTCGATGCAAAAGTTGGAAAACCGTCAAGGCACGACTTAACGTTTCAAAAACAAGGACAAAGAGGAGGATAAGTCGATAAGTAGCGCAGAGAGCAGCGGAGCGAACAATGAAAAGCGTGACTGACTAGTGCAGGATGGTATCAACAAGACGTCATAAATAATTGAAGCGCCACGTGGCCTGGGAAGATGGGCTCGTTACTTTCAGCCCGTCTTTTTCCGGTCCCGGGAAGAAAAGATATTCATTTTTGATGCGGCTTACGCGAGTCTGCCCGAGCTCTTTTTCCGCGCGCTCGCTCGAAACTTTAAATCGCACCAGAGACACGTATCCGCTATGCGATTCGATAAGAAGCTTGCTCCCTCACTCGTTAGACATGCAACGTGGAAAGACAGGCGAGCGCGAAGTATATCGTCGGAGGATAAAAGATATCGGGGAGGGGGGGGAGGGGATCGTTACAATCGCAAAAGGCGCGAGGTGGAACGAGGGAAATTGACGACGCGACGGTGGGAGAGCAAAGGAGCGGAGAATATCTGACGAATAGCGGCATTGTCAATTATGCGATGCAAATAAGCGAACGTCACGCCGCATCAGCAATCCAGCGGGGAGTTTGCGGCTCTTGCACACTCAGGTCCGCAGCTGTTGTCTTTATTATTTGAGATGTACCATGGCTTTGCCGGTGCAGTACGAGCAAGCTGTCTTGGTATTATAGAAAGACTCGCGGAAGAAATAAACACGGTTACTCATATAGCGACTGCCTTCATTACCGTTGGAATTCTCAATAAATCAGTCGCGATTTGCTAAATAAGACATAGTGAATATTATATAATTTTTTAAAGGGTTATCGATATTATTTGAATAGTGAGCCAACGCTAATGAATTAATTGCTTGCGGGCGTCGACAGGTCGCGAATTCGATCATCGCGCGATTCTCTTTGACCTCCAATTAAGTTTATTATCTGCACGTCCGTTTTATTTCCGAAATCATTGGATATGTAATAGCTTCCGCTTCGCGTGAAATAAATGAGAAGAATCTTCGTAAGAAGCTGAACGACAAACGTAAGAGACAAGAGAGAGAGAGAGAGAGAGAGACGTATCGCGGAGATTTCATTGTGCCGTTGATAGCGCGATATAAATAATTGAAATGCCAGGTTGCGTCAGAATAAAGACGAAAGCCGACGCTCTTGACGCCGTTCAGCTGCAACGGCGCGGAATCACCCTATCCCCCCCTCCCTTCCTCCTCGACTCGCGATCCCCGGCGTTTCACGTTTCGCCGACTGCATTTGGCATCTCGTGTCCGGCCGTGAAAAGCACGAACCGGCTCTCCGGTGCTCTCTCTTTCTTCTCGCGCCACGCCGCCACCGCGCCGCGCCGGTCGAGGGCCGCGGCGAGAGGAAGAGCGAGGAGGAAGTCCGCCGAGAGATCCGACGGACGATTCGCAGGAAATTGGATGCTTTTATTTCGCGCGATTTTCTCTCATGCAGCGGAGCAACCTTCCTCTCTCTCTCTTTTCCCCGCTCTTGTCCAATTCGTTCATCCCGCTCTCCGTACGACGAACCGAGCCCGTGACCGAAAGATCGGAACGATTTCTCGAGGGCCGCCATCCGACCGGCTCTGGTTTTTCAGTTTTTGTGAATCGACTGCCACTTTCTACGGAATGTAAAAGAGAACCAGATTTCTTCGCGGCAAAATAATCTTTTCTCTTTCAAGATAAAGGAAACGAATCTTCTACAGCGATCGATAAAAAATCTTGAAAATAAAAATTATAATTTAAGAGCGAAGAATTAATCCTTAAGGGGGGGGAGAGGTCTGGTTTAGGACGCTGAAAAATAGGTGATT